AGCACTCAGGAGGCTGAGGCAGGAGGACCACAAATCTGAGCCTGCCCTGGGCAACCTAGTGACTTAGTGAGACCCTGATAGGAAGAAAGGAAGGGAGTGAGGAAGGGAGGGCAGAAAAGAAGGAAGGGAGGAAAGAGATGTAGCTCAGTGTGAAGGCCCTGAGTTCAATCCCCAGTACCACAAAAAACAAACAAACAAACAAACAAAAAAATTAAGCAGACTCTCAAAAAAGTTTAAAAAGCCAGGTGTAGTGGCACATGTCTGTAATCCCAGCATTTGGGAAGCTGAGGCAGGAGGATTGCTTCGAGTTTGAGTGCAGCCTGGACTACACAGTGAGACCCTGTCTCAAAAAAAAAAAAAAGTTACAATATGCATTAGTCAGCTCAGGTTACCATAATCAGAGAGTGAACTACAGACTCAATGGCTGAAACAATAAAAAATTTTTTTGCATATTTCTGGAGGCTAGAAGTCCCAGTTCAACATGCTGGAAGATTTGTATTCTGTGGAGGGCTCTCTTCTTGACTTGCAGGAAGCCACCTTTTCCTGTGTCTTCCTGTTGCCTTTCCTCCGTGCATACATGGACAGGGAGCTAGAGAGCTATGAGGTCTCCTCTTTTCTTATAAGGACACCAGTCCTATGGGAATAGGGTCCTTATGACCTAATTTAACTTTGAAAGGAATTCTCACCATTTGGGGATATGGGACTTCATCAATGGGGGGCAGGCACAATTCAGCCCATAATACCATATGACTTAGCAATTCTATCCCTAGGTTTATACCCAGGAAAACTGAAAATATATATTCATACAAGACATTATACATGTGAACTAGGGTTTGTCCCAGTGGTAGAGGACTTGCCCACTTGCCTAGCACATGCGAGGCCTGCGTTCAATCCCTAGCACTGCAAAATGAACAAACACACAAACAAAACCAAAATGTATCCATGAGAGATAAAGAGATAAAAACTTATACACAAATATTTATAGAAACATTGTTCATAATAGCCCAGTGTTCATCAACAAATGGATAAATAAAATTGTAGCATAGCCATGTAATGGAATATCATTCAACCATAAACAACAATGAAATGCTGATATACACTACAGAATGGATAAACCTTGAGAACTGGCTAAGTGAAAGATGCAGACATGAAAGTTCACAAATCATATACTACCGTGTATTGAAATGCCCATAACAGGCAAATGTGTAGAAGCAGGAAGATTAGTAGTTACCAGAGGCTGGAGGGGGGGGAAGAGATGGGAAGTGGCTGCTAGGAGGTTTCTTTTGGAGGGGATGAAAAGGTCCTAGAATTAGAGCTGACTGCATAACTATATGAATGTACCCCCAAAAGACCCCCACTGAATTGTGTACTTTAAAGGATGACTATTACAGTAGATAAATTGTAACTCATGTGACCATATTATGTAAAAATGTGATCATATATATTGAATGTGGCCAAAGTGGAATTCATAGCTTTTGTTAAATACAAATTAGAGGAGGCCATTGTTCTGGATGAGGATTCTGCACCCCAATAGGCCAGAATGACGATCAAAATGGGATTGTTGGAGCTGAAATTCCACATCCCCAAACCAAAACTTAGTTGACTTTCCAAGAAACCAGAAAAGAGCTAACAGCTGACATTCCCAAGTGGGCCAGTTTCAACTGACATGGACAATGAAGACCCCTTTGATTTCATCTTTATATTCTTTAACTCTCACCAAAAAAAAAGGTAATGAAGTGACCTGACGTGTATCACTCAGTTACTGTCCTATTGTTCTGTCCCCTTGTCCATGTCTTATAGGGAAAATTACTTTGAAATGGCCAATTTAATTTTTGGTTTTTGTTTCGGCTTTTTTCAGTCCTTCCCTGTTTACAAAACCAACTTCTGCTTAACCTGTGGGGACAATTATTCTATTTTATGGAAAGAAGTATGGCCTGTTTCTAGTATGGAAAATAAAGCCAATTAAAATCTTTAAATCATTGAAATTTTGTCCTCTGACAATTTAAAAAATTTAAAAATATCTTCACACTAATCTCACCTAGAAAAAGACTCCAGAAAATCAGGAGGGCAGTGTTAGTAAAGATAAATGATGAAATAAGTGGCAAAACTAAAGAGCAGTGGAATTGATAAAACTGAATAGCTGATTCTTTGTCATAACCAATAAAATAAATTTCTGAAGAGGATAATTAAGGGAAAAAAGAATTCACATGCATATGACATGAAGAGAGAAAAGGAGATTCTGAAAAAAAACCCACATACTAAGAAAAAAATGTTTTGTTGTTGTTGCTGTTGTTGTTTTGAGACAGGGTTTCACTATGCGGTCCAGGCTGGCCTTGAACTCACAGCGATCCTCCTTCCTCAGCCTCCTCAGTTCTGGGATTATAGGTGTGTGGCACCACGCCTGCCTGAAAAGTTTTAAAATATACATTTATTGGGCTGAGGCTGTAGCTCATTGATAGAACACTTCCCTAGAGTATATGGGGCCCTGGGTTCAACCTCAACACTTCAAATATATATATATATATATATTTCTAATAAGTTAGAAAACCATCAAAGATTATAAATGTAGATGGAAGAAATCTTAAAATATGAGCAAATTAATTCAGCAAGCTAGTAAAACAAATACTCATGCCCAGTAGGATATAGCCCAGGGATGCAGAGAGTTCATTCTGGAATCTGGATGGATGCCTCATACCATCAGGTCAAAGGAGAAAAACAAGAGGTCATCTTAAAGACGCTTAAGAGGCCTTTTATAAAATTCATATCCATTCTAGATCTTTGAAAAAAAGGTTCAGGAAAAAGCAGAAGCGTCATGTGGCCTAGGGTTTAAGCACAGGGCTTCGGTGGCAGACACGCTTGGGTTCAGTGACTGGTCTCTCTTGGCTTCTCCAACCTCAGTTTCATCGTTTGAAAGATTAATGTAATCCCATTTCAATGAATTAATGTAGAAAATCATACTGCACAGTGCCAAACACAGAGCAGCACTCAGTCAACAGAAGCTTAGTGTTTTGGTTGTTTTGTTTTTGTTTTTGAGATGGGGGTCTCACTGTGCTGCCCAGGATGACCTCAAATTCCTGGGCTCAAGGGACCCTCTTGCTTCAGCTTCCCAAGTATGTCCCACAATGCTCTATTAGGAACTTAGTATTTTTATTAATAAAATAAAAACGGAGGGCCGGGGATTTAGCTCAGTGGTTTTGCCACCTGCCTCGCAAGGGCAAGGACCGGAGTTCGATCCCTGGTGCCAAAAATAAATAAGTAAATAAGTAAATAAATAAATAAATAAAAATGGAAGAGTATTTTCACCTATATCAAAAGAACCGGGGGGCCCGGGGATTTGGCTCAGTGGTTTCGATGCCTGCTGCGCAAGTGCAAGGACCGAGTTCGATACCGGTTCCAAAAAAAACCCGGATGGTTTCAGTATTATATATATTAGAAAAGAGATTTTATAGTAGATGGTTATAGATATGGATACAGAGATAGAAAAAATTCTGCAAAGTAAATACCTTAAGATAATGATAGTTGTTTATGCCTGGGTAATAGGATTATGGTTACTCTTTTTATACTGGGAATTTTTGTTTGTTTGTTTGTGACAAGGTCTCATATCCAGTTCAGGCTGACCCTGATCCAGGCTGGCCTCAATCTCGGTGATCCTCCTGCCTGAGTTCCCCAGTGTTGGGATTTCGGGCATGTGGAACTACACCCTGCCCTATATTTAATTTTTTTAAATGAAAATGCAATAGCAAAGGTTAAATCACAACAGAGATGATAAAGAACAGAACCGTTGTTGCAGAAAACCAGGCAGACTAGGAAATCTCTCTCAAAAGGCAGAGGAAATGGATTAAGAACTAAAAACGATAAAGGAAGTGAAAAGAATTGAGAATCAGAAAATGCTTGTACAGCCTAAGGCTTGGCAATAGTCTTAAGAGATAGACCGGAGCGATCAGGACTTCTAGTCAAAGCAGTAACTGAAGAAAACTTTCCAAGGTGGGGTGGGAGGAGAAAGTGTGTAGATCAAAAGGTTTACTGTGTCCCAGGCAAATGCAACGAAAAGAAATCCATATTGGTTAATTAATTTTCATCAGCGGGTTAAGAAATCAAACATCAGTGTGTGTGCGCGTGTGCACACGGGCACACTCACGTTACTTAAAACATAATGAAACCCTAGCCTCAGAATTTGCTGGCAAAACAAGGGCCAGAAGACAGAGAAGTGGGGTCACAGAGCAATCACTTCTCTTCAGACAGAAAAAAAACTCGGAAACCACACCACTCACTCATCTTTCCTGCAAAGGACGCCTGAGGGATCACTTGAAAGCGTGCCCCAGCTGGGAGACAAATCAAAACTAAATGTCAAGAATGAGGAGGGTGTAGTACAAAAGGTGGCAGGCCTTCATTTCTTCGCCTCAATTCCAGACTCAGAAATGTGCTGGCCGGTGGGATTCCACCCCGTGCAGTCGGACCCCGCCCACTTCGCTGCCCTTTGCCAGGCCCGGGACACAGTGGCCCCGGCAGCACCCCCACCCCCTTGCAGAGGCGGAGGGGTGGAGGAGGGAGACACAGGATGGGATTCCTTTTTCTGAGACAGTAGGAAAGGAACTAGGATTCGGCGTGCGTGTGCGTGCGTGCGTGCGTGTGTGTGTGTGTGTGTGTGTTTAAGGAAAAGGAAAAGAGACTTTCCACCTCTTTTCCCCAGGTGAACTGCAGGGCCGAGTGTAGCACAGCGGCGTTTTGCGACGTGTCCAGGGGAAAGCGGGTGCCAAGTGGCTCCCGCAGACTCACTGAAATGCTCACACGCTCACATCCTCTTTGGCCTCCTGGCAAGTCGCAGGCACCCTTAAGCCCTTCCTGGGGACTTAGGGAGCTGCGGGCCTCGGTGGGGGTCCCCGGGACCAGACGACTCGTGGTCCCTTCCACCCTGGCACACACTGTGGTCCATCTGGGGTGGCCGCAGGGGACGGGGGCAGGATGGGGCGACGCAGGGGCGCGGCGCGGCCTGGCCTTACCCCCGGGCCCGGTGGAGACGGTGACCTGCGCGTAGGTGGCTCCCGCGGCGGCCGCCGGGCCGGAGACGCCGTTGAGCGCGGCCACGCGCACGGTGTAGCTCGCGCCGGGCCGCAGGTGCAGCAGCGTGGCGGCGCGTTCCCGCAGCCCGGCCTGGCGCGGCACGAAGGCCACTCGCGGCCCGCACGGCTCGCACGCGCCCGCCGGGCCCTCGCGGCCGCAGTGCAGGCACAGCAGCGAGTAGGTGACGTCGGAGCGGCCGCCCGAGTCGGCCGGGGGCAGCCAGCGCAGCCGTAGCGCCAGCGGGGAGCGGCTCAGGCTGTACTGCAGGTCCCGGGGCGCAGACGGCGGCCCTGGGGGAGCGGGGGGCGCTCAGCAGGCGGGGGCGGGGGCGGGGGCGGGGCCCCTCCAGGCTCGCGGGAGGTGTGGCGCTGAGCGGGAGGTGTGGCGCTGAGCTGGAGAGGGCCCAGATCGCCCGGGCTCCTGACTCTGTCCCTCCGTCTACACTGGCCCTGCGGTCCGGTTCTTCCATCCCCGCCCCAGGCTGTCCTCCCTGCCCTGCCCCCGGCATTCCGGCCCCCCTCACCCCGCCGAGCCCCAGTCCTCCCCAGGGCCGCCCCCCATCCCCGCGGTGCAGCCGGGAGGGGCACTCACGGGTGCAGGAGGCCGAGGGCGGGTCGGCGGGCGAGCGCGCGTAGCTGTCCTGGCACACGCAGAACGTGGAGGCGTTTTCCAGGGCCCGGCTGTGCTCCGGGCACGGCGAGCAGAGGGGTCGGCGCGGGGACACCTTGTAAAACCCTGGGGGACAGGCTGCGGGGAGAGGCCGGTGAGGAGGGGGTTCCTCCGCAGCCTGTCTCCCGCTTTCCTGTCCGTGCTCATCAGGGTGGGGGTTATCTCCCGGGACTGTGATCGGGAAAGTCGGGGACTCAGCCCTGCAGCGCCACCCCTCGGTCCTCACGCATCATCCTTTTGGTCCTCAAGGCAACCTGTGAGGCAGGACTTCACCCCATTTGTATTTGTTTGTTGAGACGGGGTCTCGCTATATAGTTCAGCTGGCTGGTCTTGAACTCATTTTATATATATAGCCCAGGCTAGCCTTGAACTCATGCCTCAGCCTCCCGAGTGATGGGATTACAGGCGTTCTCCAGCAGGCCCAGCATCACCCCGTTTTTTTGTTTGGTTGTGGTTTTCTGGGGGTTTTTTGGCACCGGGGATCGAACTCGGGTTCTTGTGCTTACGGGGCAGGCAGCGGAACCACTGAGCTAAATCCCCAGCCCCCATTTATTTATTTATTTATTTATTTTTTTAATGAAGAGACTGTGCTCACTTCCCAGTACATGCACTAAAAATGAAGAGACTAATGCTATTGAGTTTAAATTGCCCAATGCCCCACAGCTACCAGAAGCCCAACCCAGCCCGCCCTTTAAGAGGCCATAGCACATGACTTCCTGGAGGAAAACAAGCTGAACTGAACAGTGTGGTCCTGGCATGAAGAAAAGAATGAAGACAGAGCCCCAAGGACAGACACACACCCACGCTCCCCACTCCCACAGATGCTGACACACACAAACATTGTCAAAGCTCAGGCTCCCACCACCATCATAAATTCTCAACTCACACCCTGGTCTCTCGTTTGGAAGTGGAGCCAGGTAGGTGGAGGTGGGTGGAGAGAGGAGAGGGACTTTGACAGTTCCCTGGACCGTATGTCAGACCCTAGTCTTGACACCTGCTCAGTTGCTTCTCTTCCTTCCGCACATCACCCAGAGTACAGATGCTAACAGCACTGCTTTTCTTTTTAATAGCTGAATGACCAGGATTGCACCTGTCATTTGCTGTGTGGCTTTGGGTTTGTCAGTTGTCCTGTCTCAGCCTTGCCAGGTTTGTGGGAGGACACAGAGACAAAACACAACTGCGATAAAACATGAGCCCTGTACAGACAGCTCTTATGCAATAATGGTGGTAATTACTGTTCCTCTCTCACTGGCCTGACATGGAAATGAAAAAACACCCACTTTAAAAAAATTTCTGTCCAGCTGGACCAGGGAGGGAAGAGGGATGTGGTGGCTCCTGGCCCCTCCTCTCTGAGCTGGGCTGGGCCTCACCTTGCTCCCTGGCATCCCCTCTAGTTTAGCTGGTGATTGAAGGCAGCTGCTGTTCAGCTCCATGAAGACCTAGCACAGCAGCAGGGATGCACAAAGCCTTGGGAAGAAACATCTTCAAGAGAGGGAGGGCCTGAGGATGCCCATTGTCTTCTGGGCTTACACTTGGAGGACCCAGATTGCCCAGAGTTCCAGGCAGCATAGCTGGGGCGGGGGGGCGTTGTGCTGCTGCCCAGAAGCCTTTGGAAGTTACTGCCTCGATGATAAGTCGTGGGCCTAGCTACCACTGAGGCTGGGACTCAGAAGGCCTGGATTGTACACTGTTAGCCAGGATATGCCTTGTGCCTCTCTGGACTTAGTTAAATGGGATACTAACAACAGCCTGCCCACCCATGCTGTGGAGAGGGCAAGGGCCAGGGTAGGCTTGGGGAAGGTGACCCTGTGTGCAAGGTTACAGGACATTGTGGTAGCAACGCTGGAGGGGCTCAGCCCTGTGTGTAAAGGAGCTTGCTCTCTGTGTGGTCCCATCTGTGTGGTCCCATCAGAGGCAGCACACTTATCTCTGCCCCAGAGGCTCTGTTTAAAGAGGCATGTGCTGAAGAGCAGACTCAGAAAGGGATTCCTGAAAATCAGCACCTGCCTCTCTTGCTCAAGGTCAGAGTCAGAATTTCAGAGGTCATCTAGTTCAGCTCCCATTGGCCTGGTCCTCTGGCAGTTTTCTGAGCAGCAGAACCATGGTCCTTGCACATGTTCCAAAGAATGGGGAGCCACCCCCTTCAGAGGCTACTTTTGTAGATCATGGCAGTTAAAAAGTGCTTCTTAAGAGGAGCCCAAACTAGCCTCCCTGTCCGTAATCCCCCTCATGCCAACCCCTGGCGGGAGCTCAATATACCCTGCAGAACCTCAGAGAATATATACCTGGGGGGCCCTGACTCCGGGGAAGCCCCACAAATATCTGAAGATACAAGTCATACGCAAGGGTTTTCCCCTAAAGGGGAACGCTGATTTTTTTCACTAATTCCTCTAATGGCCAGAAGAAGGGGGTCAAGAGTCAGGGTCAGTAAACAGAGAAACCAAAAAGAAAAGAACATCTTCACACTCTCTCCTCCACATCCACCGACCTCTTGAGAGGAGTCTGTACTTAGCTGCAGAAGATACTCAGAAGGCCTGGGCTTGCTAAATACACATCTGACCACTCCATGTCTCTTCCTAAAACTCCCTAACATCTTCCACTGACAGTCACCCTACCCATGCCACGGTGAGCCCTTTTTCACACCTCTGGGTCTTTCCCTGTAACATCTTATACCCCTTTCCTCCCTATAATCTAGTTGCATACTTCTCTGGACCCCAGTTCAGGTAGCACCTCCCATGTGACGCTTTCCCTGGCATTATCCCCAGCTCCTCATTCCCCAGGGCAGAGATGATGCCCTTACAAGTGGCTTTTGTCTGGTCTCAGCCCAAGGGAAGGGAGCTTGGCACAATCTAGAAGTGGACTTGGATTCCTGTGTGTGTGTGTGTGCACACGTGCGTGCATCCTTGCTTGCTTGCATGCATGAGTTTTCCTAGAGTGTGGATCCAAACCTTCTTCCCTACCCCCTGGCTCATTCAAAATTTTATCATCTACCATGAGCCAGCCACTGTTCTTTGCTACATGTCTGAACAAAAGAGAGAAGCATCTGACTGTCCACTGGTACAGATGTCCTCCTTCCCAGCTCAAGGGAAAAGAGAACCCATCAGTTGGTAATTCCCTCAACATCTGGCCATCAAAACCCACAGACATCTTCATCCACTCTCATCTCTCTCCTCATTTTCAGTCCTAGAGGAGGGGATGAGCCAGCTCCTGTTGAAGACTAGCCCCTCCATTCTACTCTGGACCCCTGTCTTAAAGTCTGCAGTGCAAAAGCCCTGGGATCAATTCCCAATACCACCAAAGAAAAAGACTACATCCCATCAGTCATGCCCCCTGCTGGCTCTCACACTGCTGCTCCCCTGTGGGCTCTTTCCAGTGGTCCATTTCTGGTGTAGACAATAAAGACATGGACTAGAGAATATTTTTAAACAATCACAAATATGACCAGCTGGGCATAATGGCACAAACCTGTAATCCTAGCACTCTAGGAGACTGAGGCACAAGGATTTCAAGTTCAAGCCCAGCCTAGGCAATTTAATGACTTACCAAGACTCTGTCTCAAAATAAAAATAATTTTTAAAAGCTTGGGATGTAGCTCAGTGCAGAGGTCATGGGTTCAATCCCCAGTACAGTAATCAACTAATTAAATAAGTAAATGCTAAAAGTTGACCTACTTAAAAAATAAAAAAGTTGACCTACTTTTTTGTTAGCAATATGCGCCAGTAATTCTAACTAACATGGGTCAGTAACAAAAGACTCCTTCCCCCTGGAGCTGTCCACTCCCACCTCCCACACTCTTGGTACCCCACTGGCTCGTTCCCGTCAGCATACAAACAAGTCTCTCCCATCTACAGTAAGAGTCCTCTGTCAATTCAAATGACAGGTGTTTCTCTCTCTCTCTCTCTCTCCTCTCTCTCCCCCTAATGACTTCCTGAAGATGCCACCTCTTCTTCTCCCCCTTCAAGTCCAAGCTTCTAGATTCGCTGACTCCAGGCCATCCCTGTCCTTCACTCTCAGCCTATTGTAAAGTGGTCTCTCCACTCAGCCAAAACTGCTCTCACCAAGGCCACCAAGTGGACGTTGTCTGATCCCTGACTTACCTGACTGTTCACCCACACTGTAGGCTGCTCCTCCCAAATGCCACCATCTTCCTTGGATTTCTTAGACCCGCTCCTGGCTGTCCTGGCATCTCACTACTCCTCAGTCTTTCTAATAGGCTCTGGTTCTTGCCACTTCTCCTTAAATATTGCTCCTCTGCGAGTCTAAATTATTGGCCATCTTGCTTCTTACCCATGAGTCCCCTGGCTTATCCTGGCCACACTCACAGCTTTGAGTAGTATCTGTGTTCTGAGCTGCAGTCCCACTTTCTAGCAACCTCTCCCGTTAATGCACGTGCCAATCCACAGCACCTGTGTTCTGTACCCAGTGGATGATCCCTCTGTCCATTCATTCCCCAGAATCATAGGAGTCACAGAGGCTCCTATCTCCTGTGTCATGTGGTCATTAAGTGCTTTGGGTGCTATCTTCTGATCACATCCATCCTCGGCTCTCAAGGATCTCCGCTACCACCTTAGTCCAAGAGCCCATACTTTTTCTTCTGGACTACTGCACTATCTCTCTTCCTCATCTTCTGGCCTCTAATCCTTTCCAGTCCTTTCTTTGCTATTGCAGCTCGAGTGGTCTTTTGAAATCATAAATCTGAACATGTTAGATTACTCACTGGTCCAAAGTATAAAGCTTGAGCTATTTTTCACAACATCCATGGTCCCTTCATGATTTGCCCTGGCCTCTCTCCAGCTCATCAGTTCTCACACCCTCGCATGCCCTCTCCTCTGACCGCACTGACTTACATAACACCAACCATGCTACCTTCCTGCTACCATGCTTTTGCACACAATCCCTAAGCCCAGAATGCTCTCAGCTGCCTGGAATAAAGGCCTTCTCACTTTCTCTGGGAAACTCTTCATCCTTAGAATTGGGTTCTCCCTCTCCATGCATTTGGACATCTATCAAAACCTATGGTAACCACTTGTTCGCCCAGTGCATTCCCACTTAACACCTACCCTATATCATATCCTGCTATGGATGCTGGGGCTGCTGAGACTAATAGCACTCAGTGCCTGGGCTCAAGAGGTTTCTAGTCTAGCAGAGGAAATTCACATAAGTAGATCATGGTATACCATGGGGGTAAGTATAGAAACAGAGGTTGCAGTGAGTGCAGAACAAGTGTAGAGTGCAGAACAAGATCCTGGAGAGCTCGGGAAGGCTCTTGACTCTGAGTTGATCACCAAAGCACAATTTCCCCCAGGGATAGACATTGGCATTCATCTACATACACATGAGACCCGAATTAATGCACTCAGTAGGTTCTCAATCCCTACTGAATGGATGGTTGAACAAAGGAATGACAGCAAGTTTAGTCTCTTCCTCCTCTGCCTTCCCACCACTCTGTATCCCTCTGTTATATCATGTATCACCCCTGTGTGATGTTTTAAAAAATCTTTGCCTTTCTCCTTCTATATGTGAGTGTCTCAAGAGCTGGGACTATGTCTAATTCATTTCTGTTGTCTTGGGCACAAAAAAGGACCTGGTTTAGAAAATGCATTCCTTGATCTTCCTACATTAAAGGGATGTATTCATAACCCCGTCCTGATGCTCTGCTTCCAAAGCTGCAGAGAGGGGAGAGGAGAGATCTGTTCCTAATGTCCTCAATGAAAGAGCCCATCAGAAACCTATCATGGAGGACGCCCCTCCAAGACACAATGATTCTAATTCAGACAGTTGAGTGGGAGTGTAGTAGTCATCTGCTGCAACCTCCTACTTTTCCTTGAGCTCAAGAATGCCCCCAGCCCACTGCCTGCCTCGAAAGTGCAAGGTCCTGAGTTCGAGCCCCGGTGGAACAACAACAACAACAACAACAAAAAGAATGGCCCCAGCCAGCCTCTGACTTGTACAGTGTATGGTCAGTGGCTGCATGTGATGGGGAGCTCACTCCCTATAATGCTAGCCCAAAGCTTGGGCTGCTATAGAGTTCTTTCCTATCTGTAGGAAAGGTGGCATGGTGTGGTAGAACCTGAAAGCTGAGCAAAACTGCATTCAAATCCTGGCTCTCCATCTCTTAACTTTGCAAGTGAAGTATTGATCTCTTTGAGGGTGTTTTCTGTGAAATGAGGATAATGATGGCTTACTTGTTTGCCATGTGAATAAATGAGAAGGCCTGTGTGAGCTGCCTATGACAGAGCCTGAAATGTAGGTTTCTAGAGCCTCCTCGTGTGGAGTCAAACTCACCTCTTAGTAAGTTCACAAATTGGGTCCACTAGAAGTTCCACAAGAGATCACGACCCTCAGCTCCCGAGCCCATGGCTTCTCCATTCCTCTCTGTCTTGGCATCTCCCAACCACCACCTGGGCACTATACTCCCACCCCACACCTCCCAGTCAGCCAGATACCTTCACAGATGTCACCACGCTCCTGGAATCCCGCACTGCAGCTGCAGCGGCCCACAGGCACCAGCCACTCGCCATCGGCGCCACAGTGCATGCGCGGAGGGCTGCCAGGGTCCCCTTCCGAGTGTGCCACGCACGTCCCAGCCACTTCCACCAGTGTAGAGAAAGCGCTCTCGGCCGCGGTGGCTGGGAACACCGCCAGGCCCCGCACGGTGGCGCGGCACTGCTTGTAGTAGACACGCACAGAGACCAATGCCACGCATGCGCCCACGTCCTGGAAGGCCAGGTGGAAACCCCGCCGGCTGAGCGGGCCAATCTCACGCACCTCTGTGTTCAGCTTCATCTTACGTTCACCCAGGTCTCCCTGAGTGAAGCTCTCGTCCGCTGCAATTGTGTCAATCTTGCGGGGTCGGTTACCTCCCAGGCGGAGCCGCCCGCGGCCCAGGTCAGCCTCAGTTTCCAGGTAGTAGACGTTGAAGGTCTCCTTGCAGGTCCCTGTAGCTCCAGGGATGCTGCTACAGTCGCGAAGTGTGAACTGCAGCTCCACGAAGATGCGCTGCCCACGCCCGCGGCTGATCCAACCCGTCTGCAACCAGTTGTCCTGGTTGGGCTCCAGCACGTTGCACACTTGGTATGTGCGGATGGGACGGTCGTGTTCGTCCACGCCGCTGATCTCCTCCCACTGGGACAAAGAATGAAGAGGGAGGTCAAGCCCTGGCCCCTTCTCTGCCATTTCATCCTCTCCTGTCTCCCCTCTCACTACTCTAAACACCCAAAATGTAGACCTGGAAGAAACTTTGGAAGCAAACGATCCTTTTTTTTCTTTTTTAACATAGGATGACTTACGAACTTGATGTCATTCCTGATCAGGACCATGCTCGTCTTCTCTGTGTGATCCGAATTTTAGTGTATGTGCTGTTGAAGCAAGCACTAATCTTTATTTTTATGGATGGGAAACTGAGGTTGGGCAGTGAGAGTGAATTGACCAAGTGCACACACTGAGTTAGTGCAGAGTTAGAAATGGTTCCTGGAGTCTCTTAACTCTCCACACAGTCCCCTTTGCACTCCACTGAGCTGCGGTTATAACCCACGCTTCTTCACGCCCATCCCACCTTCCAAGACCCAGGACACCCAAGACTCGCTTCCTCTGTCAGTCACCAGACAACACTACTTGGAGTATCTACTGTGTGCAAGGCACTGTCCAGAGTAGCCCCATCTAGATGTCACATATCTGTTCCTGCACACAGCTAGTTTCAATCTATCTATGTATCTATCCAACTATCATCAATCTATGTGTCTGTCTGTCTACTCAGCGTCTTTTAATAGGCCACTGTGGCTTGACACCAGAACTGCTGTAGACCACACCTCTTGAGATGCATTGTGATTTGATGTGACCACAGAGAGCTAAAGGGACTGAGTCTTAGACTACAAGAAGATCCCTGGGGCAGGGAAAGAGAATTTTATACCTACCCCATTACTTGGCAGTGCAATCCAGCCCAGCTCAGCCTGGGAGGCTTTGGAATCCAGGAGAATGACTAGAGAACAGAGATGTCAGAAAGGGAAAAGGTCAGTTTAGGAGGGTAGGATCTTTTTCTGAATTCTCTGTAAATTTGCTAACCAAGGGGATATAGAATGTGGCAAAGCATACATACAAATGTTTTCCACTGGATAAATCCCTGTAAAGAGGGTGTGAATAGCTCGAGTCCAGAAAGATGAAGCCACAATAATTAGGAAAAGAGTCTATATAGTTTCCTGGGGCTACTGTAACAAATTACCACAAACCAGGGTCTTAAAACAACATGGTTTTTTTTCTCTTACAGTTCTGGAGGTCTGATGCCTCATATCAGTTTCACTGTGTCAGGGTCAGCAGGACAGATTTCTTGGGAGGCTATGAGAGGAGAATCCATTTCTTGCATTCTTCAGCTTCTAGTGGCCACCTGTGTTCTTTGGCTTATGGCCCCTCCTCCACCTTCAAAGTGCATCACTTCAACCAGTGCTTGTGTCATCACACCCCTTCCCCTTGGACTCAGACTCCTCCTGCACCCCTCATATAAGGGCCATTGCATTGTGATGAAGTTGGAGCCATCCAAATAATCCAGGATCATCTCTCCATCCCAGAATCCTTAATCACACCTGCAAAGTTCCCTTTTTTGCCACTTACAGTAGCGCTCACAGGTTTGGGGGATTAGGAAGTGGACATTGTTGGGGAGGGGTCATTATTCAGCCTTCCACAGAATCCATGGCAAATGCCCCAGTGCCAGACAGTGACCCTCCCCACCCTTCCCTGTTCTCTGAATTACAGCTAAGTGTTCACTACAGAGAGAAAACGAGTGTAACAGGGGATTCCTGTGTACACCCCCAAATCCACTCAGACTCCAAGGCTCTTCTGAAGGCTGGTCACCCGGTGTAGGGGAGACTTAAACCTTCCTCCTTGACTCCCAGGGCCTCTGGGGGAAGCCAAGTGGTGAGATCCTACTGGCAGCAGGGGAAATAAAAATCTCCCATCTCCTCAACCAGCCCCTTTCCCAGGGATTGTCATCTCTACTGCCACTGAAAGAATATCAGGGGTCCTTTTATGCATAATCCACACGAGAGAAGCTTGGAGCCACTTTATTCCCTAGGGCTGTGTTGGACCAGCAGTCTGCATTTTCTCAGCATTGGTCACTGAGAGGCACAGGTTTGGACAGCAGAGCCAGCAGCCTGCAGACAGGAAGCCAGACCATCCCAAAATCTTGGAGGATTACTCATCTAGAGCTTAAAGAAGAGGGTGGATCGCTGAGGTAAGGGTCTCCAAGAGGGGTTGGCTCCATAGACATCCGCGATGGTGGGCAGGATCGCTGACAGAGTGCTGATTTCACACAAGTGACAGCACAAGGGAAATACATATTGGAAGACATCGGCTATCCAGCAGTGGGACCAAGCCTGTGGTCAGTGCCTGATTCCAGCTCCTCAGGATTCTACACCTGGCTATGACGCCTCTGGATTTAGCTGAGCCTATAGCTCCCCCAAATGCAGAATCAGAGGCAAGACGCGGGCTCTGCTACAGCCCCCAACCCGGCAACGCGGTCCGCACCAGATTGACCACACGCCGGATTCAGCACTGCGGACAGCTCCACGAGCAGCCTTGGGGCTGCACCGCCACCGGGGCCAGCATTCAGCCACGCAGTGGTCCCCGAGCCCCCGCTGTTCGGGATCCATCCTCTCTCCTCTTATTCCGACCTCATCTCCGCATCTCGTCTCCTCTGCTCTCTGCCTCTCCCCGCCCCCACAGCTTCCACCTCCAATCACTCAGCCTGTCCGTCTCACCGGCCCCTGGCTCCCGCGGTTCCTTGGTCTCTTTCTTCCCGACCCTCCGAGGTCTCCAGCCCCACGATCCTCAATGCCCCTGTCTTCCCATTGCTTAGCCACCTTTTTGCGCTCTCTCTTGTTCTTTGCCGCCTGCTCCCCGCTTGCTTCAGACCCCAAACAGACTCTAGTTTCCCCAACGACTCCTACCAGCACCCCCGTCCCTGGCCCCGAATCTGCTAACATCCCAGGCTCCCAGCATAGCCACCAGTCTCTACCTTCCTCGGCGGTCCCGGGCCGCCCGCGTCCCAAAAGCAGCGAGAGACAGAGCGGCATCAGGCAGACGAGCAGGCGCAGCGGGTGCAGGCCGGCGCCGGTCTCCATGGTCCGCAGACGGAGCTGTCAGTGCGGCGGCGGCTCAAGGCGCGCCAGCCCAGCACCGCCGAGCAGCGCCCCCAGACCCCAGCGCGGGGTGGGGCGGGGCCTCGCTGGTCACCATCATCTATGGGGACCAATCACGAGGCATCGCTGCGTGAGCTCCACCAATCCGGGCCAGCAGAGGGTGGGGAGGTGGAGTTTCATAGGCCAGAGGGGGAACACACAACTGGAGAGGGAAAGAAGGGTCCCGAGGATCTCCAAGCCGTGGGGGTGGGGACCCCCTGAGCTGGAGCGGGGCTGCTGGGGAGCGCGAAGAGCTGGCGTCGGCGGTACACAGCGTTAAACATTAGCCCCTCATTCCTCAGAAGTAGGCAAGGTGGGCGTGGTTTAAGAAGGGGCGGCCCGCTGGGAAGCAGCGACTCTTGCAGCCTCTCAGCCAGCCCCGGAGCCTCTTGCTCCCAGGACTTGCGGGGATTTCCAAGCCTGATGCCCTGACCCTAAGCTCTGGGATCTCTACCCTCCCAGCCTCAGCTTCTTCCTGGGTTGTGGTAACTGATGTCTATTGGCTTGATCTCATTTCTCTCTCTCTCTCTCTCCCTCTCTCTCTCTCTCTCTCTCTCTCTCTCTCTCTCTCTCTCTCTCTCTCTCTCACACACACACACACACACACACACACACACACACACTAGGGAGGGAGGGAGGGGCCAAGCCAGACCGCAGGACTGCTCAAAAAAGACAGCCAAGTGGGAGACAGGAACCCACCCTACTAGCAGAGCTACCGAGGCTGGGAAAACATGTGGAAGCTGCGATAGGGCGCTGGAGATTTGCAGAACCATCGGTTCTTTGGGGTCTTGCTGCTACTGTCAAAACACCAGCACACCCCGCGACCACCTCTGTCCTCAGTCTGTTCAGGCTGCGGTCCCCCTCTGAGTACCCCACTCTGCCCACTCCAGGAGCCCGGCAAGAAGCGCAGCAGCCAGGAATCCGAGGCATCTGCAAGGGAGGCGGAGCCGTCCTCCCAGACAGTTCAGCCGCAGCGCTGGAGAAGCCTCAAGAAAACGTGGGACATGACCTCTATTTAGTGAAGGTCATTTATACGCAAGCCAAAGGTTTAACCGTTTGGTGATAGGAAGGGCTGGGGCTGTTTAGGATGAAGGAAGTGGCAGCTATTGAGCTTCACCATCTAGCTGAACTTGAGAGGAGAAAGCTCCACCCACTTCGTGGTTTTTCAGAGCTCTCATGTGGGGGGACCCACCCCACCCCCTTTCCCTTTGGACACTGTAATAGCAGGAGAGGCTTCCAGAGATCTGGGAGTCCTGCATCCTCTTGGCCTTTGAGGGCCGAGTGTCTGTGTCATTTTGCATATATGTACTCCTCTCGCCTCCGAACAACACTTCCTGGGTGCCACGCTTTGTGCCGAGGATACCTGAGGAGTGAAGCGTCCCGTCTTTGCCACATTTTATACCTCTCTGGCACACAGTGCAAGGAGAATTCCTGGCTTCCCAGATCATTAGCAATTTACAAGACGTTTTCATTTCTGTGTGTGCGTGTGTGCACGTGTGTGCGTGTGCATGTGTGTAGAATGTGCACAGACATACATACTGAGACATACTTATCGGACCGTATGCAGCGATAGGAGGAATAGGTGGGAGGAATTGGTCTCCTTTGCTCCTAGAAAGAAAGGTCATATGGGGGGCGGGGCTCGAACACCAAGGGAGGCAGAAGCCTGCTGAGGCGGCAGAAGGGGGTGTGGCACCTGAGCGATTCCTGGATCCAGGCAGGGCCTCTGAAATAAAATCTACCTGAAAAAGTGTTCCTGCGCCCCCACCTCCTTCCAATCTTCATTCTCCTCACGCTCGATTTCCCCTCCCCCTGCCCCCAGCGCTGGGAGATGGTATTTTTAGAAGCTGCTCAGAGACCCAGGACTCCTTTCATTTCAGAATGAGTCCTCACTGCACCATCCCTCTCTCCTCTCTTCAAAACTGGGTTCCATCTCCTTAGCAGTCTCTAAGGCGCCAGTCGTGGCAGCTCCAGGGACTCCAGCCCAAAGGTTCTGACCTTACATGCAAAAACAAAATGCAGACTCCCTCTGAGCCTTGCAAGGATCTTTCAGAAGACAAACAGATGGGGGAAATTAACTGGAGAGAGCTATATAGGATGTTCTCAACAAACCCCTGGCTGTAGGGAGTCTGGTTGGAGCCATGTGGAGAAAATGCCAAACTGAAATCCTAGGAATAGGGAAAAGCAAGAGGAATAAAAGGAGTAAAATAATCCTTCTCTTGCTTCCTTTGAGCAATTCATTTATATTAGAACTAGAACGGAGAAACCCTAGTGTATGCAGATATACGTAAATCAGACATGTCTTAATAAAAATTGCTCCAAAGTGGACTGTGGGCCATACTCTACCAGAAGGCTGCAAGAACAGACAACTCAGTGAAGAAATTCTGGAGGGCTTTAGAAGGAAAAGAAGCCATCATTTATCGCGACCTTTAAGTGCTGGAGGCCAGGCAACCAATAATAATAAGTTAGGGCCCTTCTCGGAACAGCTATGAGCAGGAGCAGAGTTGGGGTGAGAGCAGGGAGGAGCTACTGGTTGTGGTGCTGAACGCCCCTCCCCACCTCCGCCATTTGTCTGGTTTCTGCCCATGGTGCTGAATCATCAGGGCCTGGACCTCTACTGTTGCACCCTGACCTTCAGCCCAGGATTCGTCCGCTACTCCTTTAGCCTAGAACCAAGATCTTGTGATTATGATAGGTGTCTCCAGGAGCTAAGCACCCTCCACACCCTGGACCAAGCGTGGAGGAGACTCAAACACATCCAGAGACAGCCTGTTTGTTTCTTCTGCTCTTCCAGACCGCCATGGGAGCAATATGGAAGGAGTTTTCTCTCTACTTCTGCCTCACCATCTTCTTGGATCATAGGCAAATACCTGTTGGGGCTGAGCAGCCTAATTCAACACCAAAAGCAATTAAAATTGGACTTTCAGAGGACAGACCCAACTTTACCACAACCTTCATCTCACAGTTGCTGAAAGTTTACAAATACAGGTGTTGGAAAATTGATTTCTTTATTTTTCATAAATGCAGAAAGTGTGTTCAGCCTTGTGAGGCAGAGGTCATGTGCTCCATGGGGGGAAGACTAAGACTGCACCAGAGAAATCAGGGTGAAATCCTGCTCTCAGCAAAGAGGACAGGGCAGGGCAAGAGCAGAAAGGAGCTATATTACTCAAAGATACCTCTTCAATGTGTCTCTTTCCAGCCAGACATGGTGGCTTACACTTGCAATCCTAGCACTCAGAAGACTGATGAAGGAGGATTGAGAGTTTGAGGTCAGCTCAGGCTACATAGGGAGTATCAGAGCAGCATAACTACAGAGCAAGACCCTGTCCTAAAAAAGGAAATTTTTTGAGGTGGGTGTAGTGCTCACTTGAAATCCAAGCATTCTGAGAGGCAGAGGCAGGAGAATCACAAATTCAATTGCCTAGCTTGGGCAACTTAATTAATTAGACAGGGTCTCTCTATGTATTTCAGGCTGACCTTGAACTCACTAGGTAGCCCAGGCTGGCCTCAAACTCTTGGCCACTCCTGCCTCAACCTCCTGAGAACTTGGTTTACAGGTGTGTGTCACCCTACTCAGCTCTAAAAAAAAATTTTTAAAAGGGCTGGAGATGTAGCTGAGTGCAAAGGCTGTGGGTTCAATCCCTAGTACCACAAAAATCTTTTTCTTTCTTTCTTTCTTTCTTTCTTTCTTTCTTTCTTTCTTTCTTTCTTTCTTTCTTTCTTTCTTTCCTTTTTTGGTACTGGGGGTTGGCCTCAGGACCTTGCACTTTCGAGGCAGGCAGCAGAACCACTGAGCTAAATCCCTGGCCCCAAAATGTATCTTTCCTCATTCATTTCATGTCTCCTTCTCCAGCCTAAGATGGATTTTTTTTCTGGCACAAGTGAATCACAACCAAAGGTAAAAAGGTGGTTGTAAACATATTTTCAAATTGAATTTTCTGAGAAAAAGGAAATATAAGGCACTTAATTTAGTAACTGAAAATTAAGCAGAGAAAACCTTTAAAATTTAAAACATAACTACCTACCCTTTACAAGTCTCCATTTCTTCCTAAGTAAAATAGGAATAAAAACTTTTTGGAGCTATTGTGAGGTCAAAAGCAATTTTTTTGTGTTACTGTGGATTGAATCCAGGGTCTTCACACAGAGATTACTCCAGCCCTTTTTATTTTATTTTATGTTTTTGTGGTTGTTTTGAGACAGGGTCTCACTAAGTCACTAAATTGCCTAGACTGGTCTTGAATTTGTGATCCTCCTATCTCAACCTCCCAGAATTCTGGAATTACAGGCATGTGCTACCATTCTGACTGAAAAAAAATAATTTTAGTATGTAGCCCAACATAATACTCAGCATAGAGCTCTGGTATATACTATTATTCAGCTCCATATTTAATTAAAGTGAGAAATGAAAGAAGAAAAAAAGGAAAGGAAGAATAAAGGAAGGTTAAGCAGTGTGGGAGGAAAAGAGAGAGTTGGAGGGAGAGGCATAGAGGAAAAGACAGTGAGGGATAAAGTCGAAGACAGCTGGTGAGATGAATGTGTCTAGGAAGCACAGGATCAGAAAGAAATGTGCTTGAAGAGACAGAGGCATCATCAGGGCTGGCCAGCCAGCAGCCAAGTGGTATCAGGGGTGACATTTACCTTGGTAAATTCATCATAGTCCAGGCTTATAAATTTGACTTTAACAGCATTAAGGGAGAACCTATCTATTGGGTGTTTGGAAGTACATCATACTAACTCAGCTCCTATCCTGCTATCTGAGCTAAAGAACCAACATATTAACGTATGATAAGAAATGGAACTGCCAAGAGGGCCAGCAAGCTCACATTGTCTTGTCCATCACACTCCTTCCTTATAGGAAAATGTGCACAGGGAGACAATTTATGATATGAAGGCAGTGTAGAGAGCGTGAGAGAAGGGGTTGGATGGTATAAATATTTTATGGCATCAGGCTTATAGCCTTGTGCCTCCAGATCTCCAGTAGAG